ACAGAGCTGCTACAGGCCCCCCCCAAGTGGATGAGTCAACAATAGCCATTGGATGCTGGAAGGGTAGAGGAAGTTTGACTGTGATGGTTGGTGCATTGGAATGCCAAGAACTGCTCGAAAGGCTTTTAATGCGACTAGACACTGTAACAGAAAAGGACTCCTCCATGCATGAGGACAAACCATCTGATGACAAGGGAGATGAAGCAAACGGTAAAAATGAAGATGAGGTGGAAGTTACTGGGTGTTAAAAGTGCATAATTTATCACTGATTATTTATTACTATGAGTAGTGAATCTAGGTTTTTTACTTTTTTATTCACATCTCCTATCCTTCTTACTTTTTAGTCATGGCTCCCACCTCCTAACTCCCATCCTACTTATAAGAACATTTATAGAATTTGAGGCTTTCGCATCACCCGTGAAAATTGCAAGTTTTTCTTGTGTACATTTTTTTGTGCGTCCTGTTCTTTTATAGCCAAGTTAGCAAGCTTTGTTCAAATTTGTACCAATATTCCATATTCCATAACGTTTAGGAAGTTTACCTGAAACCAGCATGACATTTTAAAGTATTAGAAAGTTGCTCCAGGTTGCATATAGGTTATCCGTGATATGGGCTGGACATTAACTAAACGCAGCCCAAGATTTTTAGTTATGGGCAGAGGTCTCAGTTTACTTCTATCTTTTAGGGATTCTATTTATACATCCTTTTTTTTTTTAATGTCTCCGCAACCCTCTGCACTTTTGTATTTTTTTCTTTACAAAATCTTTCTCAAAATTTAGTTTCTAAATATTTTTATACAATCTGAAAATTAGTTTTCAGCACATCTACAACCTGTTTAAAAATAAATTTGAAATCATTGTTTTAAAACTTGTATCAGACTCCCCGGCAAGTACAACTAAAAATCAACTTGATGACTGGTACTCCCAAAGATTGGAGCATCTCAGAACAGTTGAAAAATTGGTGCTGATGAGCTATTTGATCCAAGATTTTCTCAAAAAAGATTTTTTACTTAATTATAGTACTTTTAGATTTAATTATTTTGATTCTTTATCTTATTTTTTGGATTTATTTTGATGATTTATCTCTTAAATTTAGATAAGTTTAATCTTTTTAAATCCTTTTATAACTGATTAGTGAGATTGAGACATTCTGTCTTTATATTTATTTAAAAGTGTTTAAAAATTATTAATATTTGTTAAATAGGATTTAAAAAGATTAAACTTATCTAAATTTAAGAGATAAATCATCAAAATAAATCCAAAAAATAAGATAAAGAATCAAAATAATTAAATCTAAAAGTACTATAATTAAGTAAAAAATCTTTTTTGAGAAAATCTTGGATCAAATAGCTCATCAGCACCAATTTTTCAACTGTTCTGAGATGCTCCAATCTTTGGGAGTACCAGTCATCAAGTTGATTTTTAGTTGTACTTGCCGGGGAGTCTGATACAGACATTAACTAAACGCAGCCCAAGATTTTTAGTTATGGGCAGAGGTCTCAGTTTACTTCTATCTTTTAGGGATTCTATTTATACATCCTTTTTTTTTTTAATGTCTCCGCAACCCTCTGCACTTTTGTATTTTTTTCTTTACAATATATATATACATATATATATATATATATATATATATTAATCTAGGATGATATGAATAGATGATTCTATGATTACGGTTTAGATGCATTGGTATGCTATGTATTGAATGATGTTGTTAGATCTATATATCCATCGACCTAGGGTAATGCATATAGATGATGATTATTTAGGTGTTGATGTTGAGAATGCTATAAGCATTAAAACATGTTGATTAACTTAAGATTAGAGGAAAGTGTTTTTGTAAGTTGAATATTCTATAATATTGATGTTGGTGTGTCACTCTAGGAGACCATTTGTTGAAAACCCTCCTTGAGTAGGTGATAACTCTTGGAGTGGATTATTGCATCTCCTTTAGGTTCTTAGTCAATATCGAAATAAAGTATGAAGTCGAAGGCTACCCTTAATCGATTAATGGAGAGGTGCTTAGTATTATAAGGATAGTTAGCAAGTTAATCCCACATGTGACTTAGTTAATGCATGTTAAGGTCATAGTAGACCCACACTCAAACTATATTATACCTAACCTAACGGTAGTATTGAATTTTGCTAATCTAAGTGATAGCATTCAAGAAATCAGATTATAGGAATTAGTATTCCAATTTAACTGTCAACCTAGCGAAAACATAAGATGTGAAAATGATCAGGTTGATTCAGTAGGATCAAGTCAGTTAAACTGCTCAGATGTTATAAAGGATCTTTGTAGGTGAATACATGATGATGCATTAATTGAGGTGTTAACATATGAGATGTTGTTTTTGGTGATTGTTCATATGCTTGTTGTGTATGTGGTTGATTGACATTAATGTGGTGAAATATGATTTATCCTATCTTGTAAGTTGCTTAACTCGTAAGTAGAGCCGTCAAAATGGGCCGTGGCCTGTGGGCCAACCTGGCCCACCTTGAAAACGGGCCGGGCCGGGCCAAAATAAACAACAATTTTATGGTAAGTGGGTAACTTTAAACCCGGCCCACTTTTACCTGGCCCACTTGGGCTAAACCCGTGGTGGGCCGGGCAGCCCACCAGCCCACTTATTTTTTTTTATTACAACTGAGCCAACCCAAATACTAAATAGGAACAGCCGAACAGAGAGCCAACCCAAAGGGGAAAAATTAAAAACCCTATTCTAGCAAGGAAGGGACCACGCGGCCACGCCACTTCGCCTTCAGCTTCGGCTTCACGAAGGCTCTCTCTGCTTCACTGCTTCATCTTGGTGCCCCTCTACACTAACTCTGACTCTCCCTTTGCAAGTTGCTTCAACTTAACGAAGGTGCCCTTCTTCACGACTCTGACTCTGTTGCTAAATTTGGTGTTTCATTTTTTTTTCTCACTTTGTAATTTGGGGTTTAGCCGTTTAGGTTAGATTCCTCTCCTATCATCTTCCGCGCGCACTGCAACCACATGCAGATGCAGCAACATATAAAAATATATTTTCTATTTTCCACCAAATTTAAAATTAACAGCCAATTACACGTGTTTGTGCCATCTGTTGTATAGCGTATTGAATGCCTCCCAGCTACTACAAATAAGATTAATTTTTAGTATATAAATTAGTCTTTAGATAGTAATTTTCAAAGGCTAGGATGGCAAAAACAAAGTTATATATGTTTAAAAATATATTCATAATATCTTTTATTATAGCACCAGTTCTTTTTTTGTTGGTTTTTTTTATGCTATTTATTATTATTATTATTATTTTTCAAAATAGTTTTATTATGTGGTGAAGCTGTATATTCCTCAACTAAAAGCATGTTTGCTTCGGTTTCTAATTAACAAATGATGATGCGTGCCCCGTGCTTTTGCCATATGAACTTTTATTTCATTTTATGTTTTGTTCTTTCTTTGCAAAATTGACTTTGGAAAAATAAAATTATGTCTTAGCATGGATGGAAAATGTTGGTATCACGTAGGAAAGGTCTATATTTTGCGATTTAAAGACCTTATGCTTGGGGTCTATATTACAACTCAATTGTATAGATATATTATTAATGTCTTGTAGTTATGGGCAGAGGTCTCAGTTTACTTCTATCTTTTAGGGATTCTATTTATACATCCTTTTTTTTTTTAATGTCTCCGCAACCCTCTGCACTTTTGTATTTTTTTCTTTACAAAATCTTTCTCAAAATTTAGTTTCTAAATATTTTTATACAATCTGAAAATTAGTTTTCAGCACATCTACAACCTGTTTAAAAATAAATTTGAAATCATTGTTTTAAAACTTGTATCAGACTCCCCGGCAAGTACAACTAAAAATCAACTTGATGACTGGTACTCCCAAAGATTGGAGCATCTCAGAACAGTTGAAAAATTGGTGCTGATGAGCTATTTGATCCAAGATTTTCTCAAAAAAGATTTTTTACTTAATTATAGTACTTTTAGATTTAATTATTTTGATTCTTTATCTTATTTTTTGGATTTATTTTGATGATTTATCTCTTAAATTTAGATAAGTTTAATCTTTTTAAATCCTTTTATAACTGATTAGTGAGATTGAGACATTCTGTCTTTATATTTCTTTATAAGTGTTTAAAAATTATTAATATTTGTTAAATTAATTGATATTGTATTTAGTCTTTAAATCTCATGGTCTTGGATTCAAATATTAAATTTAGTTAATTTTTAATATTATTTTTTATTATTTAAAAATCTAAGAATAAGTTAGTCCAAAAAACATGTATACAAAAAATAAGATATTTCTTTTATAATAAGTATAGATTTAAATTCTATTATATGAAAATTATTAAATACAATTTAAATTCAAATCAAATATGTTATAAACATGATGAAAATTAAATAAAAAAATCAAAAAATATAATTTTATATTATTTTTTAATTGTTTATTATATATAGATTTTCACACAATTTTCACTAAGTGTACTCTTTTTGGATTCAAAAGTCAATTGCATTTATAATTTTTATATAAATGAATCTAATGCTATAAATTTTATATTTTGATTTAAAATTATATCAAAAAATTGAAAATAATCATTCTTTTAAAATGATCAAATTAATTTAAATATAAAAAATATAAATTAAAATGAACACTTTAATAGACAAAAGATGAAAATAAATCTATAAATAAGATAAACAAACAAAAGTATAATTTAACTTACTTTTAACAGACAGGCATCGAGATATATTAGGCTATGGGTATGACTTTTTATAACTAACTATATTTCAAGTCACAAATCCACACCTATCAAAGGATAAAACTTAAATCAGTACCCGTAGTATTTTGTGTTAATTTTCAAACAAACAAAAGTTTTATTTTAAAATTTCAGGATTAACCTAGTGGTTGAGAGGGTAGGGGTCAAGGTAGTTAGAAGTATCAGGAACTAGATTCAATTCTCATTACGATCATCTTTATAATGTTTCTTATCTTTAAAAAAAAAAAAAAAAAAAACTAATGAGATGAAAGTTTTAAATTTAACTGAAAATAATACAAAAAAATACCTAAAACAACACACTTAAAGTTTTATCTCTTACGTACGTTATACCAAGCAAATTGTAAGTACTTCCCTATGCTGGTCTTAACTCTTAATCAGCAACTCATGCAAAATAAATTTTAAATAATGTAAAAATATACAAAAGGAAATGCACCAAACCATTAAAAATTGGTGATAATAACCATGAAATCTAGTAAATTTAAACAAATTATAAAGAAAAGTCAGGACTGACAACACATGCTCCTCTTGGGGATTTCTTGTGCAGGACCAGGAACAATAATCTTCTTACCAGACAGAGATGCTGAGTTGCCATTTCCCTGATTATCATCAGCAGCTAGGTTCTTTTTGTTGACAATGTTGAATATTTCTGTCAAAACAGTCATAAAGGCTGTTTCAACGTTAGTTGCTTCCAGTGCTGAGGTCTCTAAGAAAAATAACCCTTCTTTCTCGGCAAATTCTTTTGCATCCTCTGTGGATACTGCACGCTGGTTCTCAAGATCACTTTTGTTTCCTATAAGAATGATAACTATATTCTTATCAGCATGGTTACGCAGTTCTTCTAACCAACGAGGTATGTGATCAAAGCTTTGACGTTTTGTGATGTCATAAACCAACATTGCCCCAACAGCACCCCTGTAGTATGCACTTGTGACCGCTCTATATCTGTAGAATAAACCATTTATATATCAGGGCAAACTACAAGCAGTATTCGGTGTACTAGTACGTTAACCATGGGCATTGGGTACTATGATTATATGATCAGAAATAAACATGACAATAATGTGAAGATTGAAGCATAGACACAAAAGCCAACAGATTAAAATGACTAGGGAAACATGTGCATACCGGCCCATATGGGCCGGGCTGGCCCGTTTTGACAGCTCTACTCGTAAGGTGTGGAATGCCATGTTGCGGTGTTATGTTGTGTTGCTATGATGTAAGCCATGAGGTGTATGTTGTTTGGTTTACACGTTAGTGATTAAAGTATAATTGTTTTCCTTCTATAATTGGTTTATATATGCTTGTTTTTTTGAACACTAGTTTACCTTACATATTTTCTTGTGATTGAACTACGATGACCATGTTTACATGGGAGCATGACAAGGTTAGGCTAAAGGTTTGTTGTCAGGTCTTAAGGTCATGTTGGTTGATGGTGGAGCTGAGACTTTTAGATTACCTGATGTAGTTGGTGTATAGATGTTGTTTGACTGATAAATTAAAATTTTTATTTTTCACAATTTGTGGATCACTATAAAGATATTATATATAATATGTGTGTATTTTCAATTGATTTGTATTTACATATCTGTCATGATACATATATTTAGGTGATATCAATATATTAATCTTATGTATATTAATTATTTTTCATTGCTAGGAATGAATTTATTAAATGTATTGATCATGGTGGAATGTTACAATATGGGCTCTATAAATTTTTTGTATTATGTTAATATAAATTAAAATATTAATTTTAAATGATAGTATTTTTAATTATTATATATCTTTAATTATTATTTTTAACTATTTTTCTTTTAAAAAATATTAGTTTAGTCTAAGCATTTTATAGAATGAATATTTATTGTGTATAGCTCAAATTTATAGTAAATTATATATATATATATATTATATTTAAATATATAAGTTATATTTATAGTTATGATAAATAATTTACATCATAATATAAAATAATTCTTAATTATTGATAATTTATTTTAAAAATATTAAAACTAATTTATAAATAATTATAATAAATAAAACTAAATTATATAAGAACAAAAATCCCTAAAAACCTAAAAAAAAAGTTTGCTAAAACTCTCTCAAACAGTATAAATGTTTATATTTAATATGTAAAGATTGATTTGATATGATAAATAAAAATTAAATTAGATATAAATTTAAAAATTTTCTAAAATTCTTCTTGTCAAAGAAAAATTAAAAGAAAATCAAACATAAAATAACCTTTCATATTTTATATAAAGAAATTGGTTTAATAGTTTTTAAAAATTTATTAATATTTTAAAAAATAACCTTATATCATAATATAAATTATTCATTATAAATATAAAATAAGTTTACATAATCAATTTTTTATATTATAAATTTTAATCAATAATATGATTTAGTTATTAAAAATACATTTATCTATTATAATTTATTTTATATATAGATTACACATACTAAAATATAGTGATACAAACATCTAGATAGTAGTTGCACAACATAGTTATTTGTTAAAGAAACTAAAATAAAGTATTAAGTTTTTATTTATTTATTAAAATAATATTAAGTTAGGGTTTACCAAACCTGGTTGAAGTTGAGCTGAACCAGGGTTATAGTTGTATTGTAGCATAGGAAGTCTAAAAGGGTTAGCTTACGTGTGAGATACCCACACTGATATAAATATTAGGATGCAAGCATTTCCTATTTCACTGTTAGAGCGACACGTCATCACCACTTCATATACATATTTAAAAAAGAGAAATTCTATAGTACCCATGTTATTTGAGAGGGTACCGGTACAGTTTTTTATATTTTATATTTTTAATAATTTATTTAAATAATATTTATGATATTTTATTCTTTTAATTTTTAAATTATTTTATCATTTTATTTTTATTTTATATATTCTAATTTATTTGTAATAATATTATTATATATTTAAATAGTTTAATTTTAATAATTTTTTAAGTATATTTTTATCTTTTCACTTAAAATTTTGGAATTTCTATATTTTAATTTTAATAATTTGTTA